AAAAGAAATTAGTGGCAACTAAATAATATATATAGAAAAAATTAGCCGGTATGAGTGCCATGTGCCTGTAATCCAAGATACTTGGGGCGAGGCAGAAGATTACTGGGGAGCCCAGAGAGTTTGAGGTTGCTGTGAGCTAGGCTGACCCCAGCGGCACCTCTAGCCCAGGCAACAAAGTGAGACTCTGTCTAAAATATATATATATATATACACACACACACATATGACTCTAATAACAAATGGCAAAATTCCTATGTGTTGATTTCCTGACATTTCTTACTACAGATCATGGTAAAACCCATCTAAAATGTAAATCTTTGTAAAGAACTACGAAATATCGACCGGGCGCAGTGGCTCACGCCTGTAACCCTAGTACTCTGGGAGGCTGAGGTGGGAGATTATTTGAGCCAGGGAGTTCGAGACCAGCCTGGCAAGAGCGAGACCCATCTCTACTAAAAATAGAAAGAAATTAACCAAACAACTAAAAACAGAAATTGCCGGCATGAGTGGCGCATGCCTGTAGTCCCAGCTACTTGGGAGGCTGAGGTAGGAGGATCACTTGAGCCCAGGAGTTTGAGGTTGCTGTGAGCTAGGCTGACGCCACGGCACTCTAGCCTGGCAACAGAGTAACGACTTCTTCTTGAAAAAAGAAAAAAAGAACTATGAAATACGTTTATAAAATAATCATAAAAGCATGGCTCAGATAAAATATGACCATTCATAAATTGTATCTGTTGAAAATCACTTCCGTATAATTTGTTTCTCTACTACTATACTCAATGCCATAAGACAACAAGAAAAAATTTCTATGCAGTTCTGAAAGAGAAAAATAGGTGACTCAAGATTATTATATATAGCCATTCTGATGTTTGAGTATATAAAATGCAACAAACAGACATTCTCAAACCTCAAAGAATCCAAGGAATATAGAATCCAAAGCCCTCCTTAAACAAAAAACAAAAAAAAATTAACAATGAAATAGATAAAAAAGCACTAGTAGTACAGCATTTGAATCCAGCTAGGGATACAGACTAAGATATAACAATTTGGGGAGGGTATGTGTGTGGTGAGTGGCTAGAAAAAGGAAAAAATAGTATATCACAAAATTCAAGACGGTAGAGTAGAAAAGGGGGAGGAGTTTTACGAGAGACAATGTGACACCTTATCTTTCAGGAGCAAGGTTGCAGTCAATTCATACCATTAAATCTGAAACAATGAGTTCGAATCTCTCAATAATTTAATTTATCCTTTTTCTGGCCTTAGATCTCTTAGGAACTCTTAAATGAAGAACCGGTATTTAAGATTCACGCAGTTCTTACTTTTACTTTACGTTTCATTTTTCTATACTTTCATAAATAAGTTAATATTTGTTATGATAAAAATTTATATAGGCCAGGGAGCGGGTGGCTCATGCCTGTAATCCTAGCACTCTGGGAGGCCGACGGCAAGGCGTATTGCTTCGAAGTCAGGAGTTCGAACCAGCCTGAGCAAGGCGAGACCCCACTCTTTCACTATAAATAGAAAGAAATTCATTGGTCAACTAATATATATAGAAAAAATAAGCCAGACATGGTGGCGAATGCCTGTAGTCCTGCTACTCGGGAGGCTTGAGACAGGAGGAGTTGCTTGAGCCCAGATGATGAGGTTGCTGTGAGCTAGGCTGATGCCACAGCACTCACTCTGCCTGGGCACAAAGATAGGACTGTCTCCAAAAACAAACAAAAAAACCCACTTATATATGACATATTCATATTCAAATACATAATTTTTAAAAACTTCACTTTAGGTTTTATTTCTTTAATTAAATCAAATAAAATTTTATACTTTAATTACAAAAAGTTCAAGTATAATCCTACTCTTAAAAAAATTCATTCATTTTTCTAGTTATCATTCATTTTACTAAAGTATACACAACAGAAGAATATCTGGATGTTTATGTTCATAGATGAGTATGAGGAATATTGCTTTATTATTTATTCTTAAATTTAATAATGAGCATATTCATAAAAAATATTTTAACAAAAAAACAGCTATCTCTTTCTATGCTCTTCTATAAAAAAAACCCAAAAGCAAACAAATTCAAAACAAACAACCAAAAAAACCACGCTTCACAGTTAACTCTCCTAGATTGGCCTCAGCTGGTTTTATGCTAGGAGAATATTCGCCTAGCAAAGAATAATTCAGTGCGAATTGCCATAATCAACATATGTACACAGTGTGTTGTTGTAGTTCTTGTGATCGTAATGCCTCGAGACCGTCAATTTAACGGGTGTTATGGTATCTGCGAAACAAGCCCAAGTCTCATACCTTCACAATTAGGATGTCCCCCAGTAAGTTGTCTTTTACGCCTGTCTTCTTTCATATGGGTCCCTGTTATGTGTTTAGGTTGCTCAGTCACATTGATCAATTGTTTGTTTTGGTAAGGGGCCAGTCTAGTGGAGGTAATGGAAGATGTGCTATAAAAAAACACACAATAATGCATTTCACCATGCTATATTATTAGCCAAGCAGTGATTCAAATCACTTCTTTTGCAGCACCCACATTTCTTCCTGTGATCTTTAAACCAAATATCCAAAATAAAACTTCCATTTAGTAAATTATAATTTCTGTATGGTGGTGCTAATAAACAAATTCTTTTTAATTACTAAATATAAATCTATTTATTTATTTTTTGGTTTCTTATTTATTTTTGAAAAAGGGGACAAATTCTAACAAATTTGTAAAACTTTATTTTCTCAACTATTCGTAGTAAATTACCAAAAAATAACAAAAGAATAATTTAAATTTCTTAAAGCAAATTAATACATCTCCATGTATGTGTATCGATTATCTTTCCAAGTTCTAAATGTCACTCTCTGTCTCAGTCATCCTCTCTCCCTCCCTAGAGGTATCTGTGGGACTCAAGTCTATTGCACATGTTGCTTCCCCACTTGCTCCTGATGCTCTTTTCCCTGTATCCTCTGAACAAATTGCTTATTCAGATATATTGCAATCTTAAAAAATAAATTGGTAAACAATTTAGTTTCTAGTTACTACGGCTGAAAAAATAGCCCATCACTGTAGCATATCTAAAAGTTATTTTTTAAAATTGGTCAACTAGACAATTTAACACCCTTAAGCCAAGGTTCATTTCATATATCACTTAACATTAAAAAATGTAAGGAATAGAGCCGGCACAGTGGCTACGCCTATTAATCCTAGCACTCTGGAGAGCCAAGGTCGGGAAGATTGCTTAGCGTAGGGCATTAGGAGACCGAGCCTGGCGCAGAGTAACCCAGTCTCTACAGAAAGGAACAGAAATTAGCTGCGGTGTAGTCACCATGGCCTGTAGTTTCCAGTACTCAGGAGGCTTGAGGCAGAGGATCGCTGGGACTCATGACGTTTGAGGTTGCTGTGAGCAGGTTGATGCCCACGGCACTCTAGCCCAGGTGACAGAGAGAGACTGTCTCAAAAAAAAAAAAAAAAAAAAAGAATAGAAAAGAAACAACTTATATATATCTATAGGTCAAATAAAATTTCTAAATTATTTCATTGCTTCTTTCAATGCCCTCAGCCTAGCTCTAAGTCATTCTACTGTGACGCTCAAAGATATTAATTTTTTTATTATATTGGCATTATACAGAAAAAGGTATTAATTTTTATTAGTCTGAAACAACTCAACTTCTTCAGCTCTCATTTGATTCTGTACTTGTTCTGCAGGCTTAAGCAAAGCCCTAGAAAGAGTAAGATAAATTTCAGAAGCAGAGCAATGGATATAAAGGTGTCTTCCATACCATAACTCCACATTGTATTTTTCTGAAGATCAGCATTCAGAAATAGTCACACTAATGAAAAGCATTAAAAAAAAAAAAACAAAAAACCCTAACAGACACAATGCCATGTGGGAATTTAAATATATAATAAAAGCTGCCTTTTCTAATCAATTATAGACTGGATTCTTTTTTTGTTGTTTTGCTTTTAAATGGATAAATGTAAGTAATAGATTGATTCTTTAAATGGCATTTTGACAACTGATAAGCCATTTGGAAAATAATCATTATGTTCTGAAACGCCATAAAGGAAAAGACAAAATTTAAAATTTTTTTAAATTCCTCTATAACAAAAAACCCATAAACTTATAAAATCAAAAGAAAAAAATTAATTATGGAAAAAACGCTTGCCACAATATCCACAACACAACAAACTTCAATCATATGTTGAGCTCTTAAAAATAAAATAAGCCTATTCCCAATTAGTTTTATTAGTAATTTAAGTCATACTATAATCCACCTTTTACAAGAAACTTTTCTAGATAAGAAAATTCCTTCTAGGGATTTAAGTGTAATTTATTATTATCTATAATTCATTACTTGTACACTTTTAAAATTATATTTAGCCCATCTAAAAATACTTTTAAGATTTAAATGAAAATAAATATGAACCTTAAATTATTTGTCTGGCAGAAATTTTTTCTAAAAAAAAGGAAGAGGAGGAGAAATAGTCACATCATTACATATAGATAATATAGTAACACTCCACCAATGACCCGTAAGCATGAAAAATGACCAGCAGCCATTTCCATCAACTCACCGAAATATAGGGGTGTGGCCAGGCTTTGGTTTGCTCCAGGTAAAGGGTGAAGGAACTGAAAGAAATTGGTCACCAGATGAATCTTTCTTTAAAGGATACTGAGATCCAAGGGCATCATCTAATGAAGTTTCCCGGGATGGTGATAAACTCCCTTGGTCATCTGAACAGAGCTCTAATTTTCCTGGTAGTATGGCAGCTTGATCTTCAGAAGTCTTCCTTGTTTTCAGAGGGATATCAGTCTCTACACAGTACTGAAACGGAAAAAGCACAGGGCCAAGGCCTGATCCACTATGGACAGAAGTATTGAGCCAGGTATCTTCTGTCACACTTCCCCTGGGGGAGTGACCAGGAGAAGGAACGGGTGAGTGATGGGGTGAAAGGGACCCAGCATAACACACTTCAGCACTGGAGTGCCGCCGCTTCCCACAGGGAGAAGTGGGCCTTGATGAGGGTCCTGAAGCTGGTCTGGGGCTCAACCAATTCTCATCAGTGACACTGGATCTAGGAGAATGGCAAGGAGATTGCCTAGGTGACAAGGAGTGTCCAAGTCCATACTGTTGATGCCAGGATTCTTCTCCAGGGCAGCCTCCTGGAGAGCCACCAGGAGAAGTCAGAGGGGATCCAAGGGTAAACCGGGCCGCAGCTTCATTCAACTCCGAGTCCACATCATCATAAATGTGTGAAAGAGATTCACAAGAAGATGCATCTGAGAACCAGCTCCTAGAAGAGATGCTGCTGGCAGGACTAGGACTAAGGGAAGACTCCCGGTAGGATGGCTCAAGAGGAAGATAGAGATGATCTCTAGAAGGCCTTTCCAAATATTCCCTTTCTGGATCATTTATGTGTGGGTCATCTTCATGTGCATCTATTTCTTGATGACAGTTAGGAGAGATAGATGTAATTTGAATACTTGGGCACTCAAAGGGTTTGGGACCACCTAATGGGCTATACTTAGATTCAGGAATCTCACAAGTGCCTTCATAGTTTTTGTGACCTTGGAGCTGAAACGATGGTGACAAAACAGAAGAGTGAGACGGTAATCCATGATGTGGTAAGCAAAGTGGTGAGTTTAAAGTAGATGGAGGTGGATCTACATTAAAGATGTAAATGGATGCACAATCATCTGGCTCAAGATCTATGGGGAGGAAGGCAAAAAAAAAAAAATTAACAAAATAAGAAATTAGAAAAATTTAGATGTATAAAATATCAAATGAAAAGTAAATAATAATAATAATCTTGAGAGAAAAAAGTGGAACATAAAATGTATATCTCTTTAGCTCCACTAAAGAGTTGATGTGTTTTTTAATGCATATGGCTATTTCTATAGATATATGTAATTATTACATATTTATATACATAATTATGTCATTTTTCTTTATTTCTATATTTCCTAAAACGATAATCAGAAAATATTATAATCTAAAAACAATAAATGCTTTTATAAAAGAAATAATCATATCCATAATTCTAAATAATACTCATAGCACTGTAAGATGATATAATCATATCAATTGGGCCTCATTTGGGATTTGCAGGTTAAAATGAAGTAAAGAATGAAACAGAGCCTTCCAAAGGCTATTTTAGTTATGTGTATACATACTAGGTTTATTAACAAAGAGGATTATAGACTCAAACTCAGGAGACCTAGAATCTAGTCTGCCTCTGCCATTAACTGAGTCCTCTTAGTCACATCATTTACCTTCTCCTGGCTTCATTTTCCTTCCAGTAAAATTCAAGATTTCTCCTTAAGGAAATTTTTTTTTGTCTGTTTGAGACAGTGTCTCACTCTGTTACCCAGGCTGTAGTGCAGTGGTATCATACCTCACAGCAACCTTGAGGTGAACCTCCCAATCTCAGCCTCCTGAGTAGCTGAGACTACAGGCCCATGCCATCACACCTGGCTATTTTTGAAAATATTTTTTATAAAGACTGGGTCTCACTACATTGCCCATGATGGTCTCAAACACCTGGTCTCAAGTGATCCTCCTGCCTAGGCCACCCAAAGTCCTGGGATTACAGGTGTGAGCCACCACATCCAGCATCTTTAAGGAAATGTTTATGATTAAACAGTGACAGCTCCTTTCTCCAAAATGACACACAATATCTTTGCTCACAGCAGACTAGGTTACAACACCCATATGATACTTTTGTGGTCCCTTTACCTCTATAGAAAATAACTCATCAGGGCTTTTAACTTATGATTGATCATTAAAGTAATCCTCATATAGACAGAACTTTTCAAATTCATCCCTTGGAATATTTAACACTAAGCAAGCCCTGCCAGATTACCTACTGAGAATGTTTGTAGCAATTAAGGGTATTTTGCAACTTCACTTTTAAGAAGGAATGATTATTATGCATTTTCACAAAGGCAGAGGCACTAAACCCTGGTATAAGGTGCTGGTTAAACACCTTGACTTTTTCCAAGGAGATAATCATTGGGAGACCAAAGACAAAACTGCTCATAGATAAAACAGTGAAAAGCATAAATCTTTAGCCTCTTCTCAAAAGCACTCAAAGAGATTATATTGTTTCATTACATTAGTATCAATGGAAAAAAGTGTACATTTCTTTAGGCTCCTGATGCTGCTATCATTAGCCAATATCCTTTAACTATCTCTATAAGCCCTAAATTTTGGAACTTTTAAGATGCTCTGTGGTTAGTGAACATATTCACTAAAGAGCTTCCACTTGTATCAAAACAATAAAACAAAACCCCCTAGGTTTAAATCCTGGCTATACCATTCTACAGCTGTATGAACTTGCACAAGTTATTTAACCTGCTTGAAGCTCACTTTTCTGGTCTATAAAACTGGCCAGAGGTAAACAGGGTATCATCTGAAAAACAAAGGACCATTTTAAGACAAGCAACTCAACACAATGACTAATCTTTAGCAAGAACATAATATATCTCAATTCCTTTTTCTTTCCTGTTTTTTAATTTAAGATGGGGACGTTATATTATACTTTTCTTTGAACTCTGAAATATTTCCTAATAAACTGAAACACCTTTTTAAACCACTACTATCTCCCTCACTCCTCCACTTACTGAATCAGAAGTAGGATGTCAGACCTCCAAAGAAAACCCGTATGTGGCTAAAACAAAAAACTATTAAAGAAAATAACAACAAGAAGGAAGGGTTAGCCGTGGCTCACGCCTGTAATCCTAGCACTCTGGGAGGCTGAGGTGGGTGGATTGCTTGAGGTCAGGAGTTCAAAAGCAGCCTGAGCAAGAGTGAGACCCCGTCTCTACTATAAATAGAAAGAAATTAATTGGCCAACTAATATATATGGAAAAAATTAGCCGGGTATGGTGGTGCATGCCTGTAGTCCCAGCTACTCGGGAGGCTGAGGCAGCAGGATTGCTTGAGCCCAGGAGTTTGAGGTTGTTGTGAGCTAGGCTGATGTCACAGCACTCACTCTAGCTTGGGCAACAAAGCAAGACTCTGTCTCCAAAAAAAAAAAAAAAAAAAAAAAAAAGAAGGAAGGGTTTGGGAAGAAATGGAGTATTCTGCTAATGGGTATTCCATTCTTTTGGGGTAATAACTGACTTAGAAAATAATGTTCTAAAATTGTAGTGATGGTTGCAAAATTCTGTGAATATACTACTTAAAATCACTGAAGTGTAAACTTTAATGGGTGAATTGTATGGTATGTGAATTACATCTCAATACAGCTATTATGAAAATACATAATAAATGAAACACATAATGGCAGACAAAATTCCACAGATAATAGCAACAAAGAAGATTAAATAACTGTACTAAGAAACATAAAAAAACCACAAGAGGAAATTTTAAAACACTGCTGACAGACACAAAAGTCAAACTGAATAAATGCAAAGATATCTGTGTTCTTGAATAACATAAAGATGACGGTTCTCCTTAAATTAATTTATAAATTAAATGTAATCCCAACAGAAATATCTACAAGCTATTTTGTGAAGTTAGATAAATTAACATTAAAGTTCATATAAAAAAAACATGTAAGAGTTGTGAAAAAGTACAAAGGAAGGGCCTGGCGCGGTGGCTCACACCTGTAATCCTAGTACTCTGGGAGGCAGAGGCGGGTGGATTGCTCAAGGTCAGGAGTTCAAAACCAGCCTGAACAAGACCAAGACCCTGTCTCTACTATAAATAGAAAGAAATTAAACATATATATATATATATATGTGTGTTGTTTGTAATATATATATATATATTTAGCCGGGCATGTGGTGACCTGCTGAGTCCCAGCTACTAGGAGGCTGAGGCAAGAGTATAGCTTGAGCCCAGGAGTTTGAGGTTGCTGTGAGCGAAGCTGATGCCACAGCACTCTAACCTGGGCAACAAAAGTGAGACTCTGTCTCAAAAAAAAAAAAAAAAAAAAAAAACCAGTACAAAGGAAGACTAGCCCTACCAGACATTAACACACATTCTGAAATCTCCATATAAAACAGTGTCTTACTAAAACACAATGAGACCAGAGAATAGTAAAAAGTCCAGAACAGACCAACTAACATATAAGAATTTCATATATTGGTAAAGGTGGTATTCCAAATAACTGGGTAAACAGGAACTCTTTAATAAATGGTAATGGATAACTGGGTGACTATTTAGAAAAGATAACATTATCTATATCTCACAAAATACATAAGAATAACACAGTGGCACAGTCCGGCTCCAGCCTATAATTCCAGCCTTTGGGAGGCTAAGGAGGGAGGATCACTTGAACCCAGGAACTCAAGGTTACAGTGAGCTATGATCATGCCACTGAACTCCAGCCTGGGTGACACAGTGAGACCCTATCTCAAAAAAAAAAAAAAAACCAACAAACTCAGATTAAGGATCAAATGAAACTATACAAGTACTAGTAGAAAACATAGAGTCCTTAACTATGGAACAGGGAAAGGTTTCTATCACTCAAAATCCAGACAAAATAAAACAATGATGAATTTACATAAAATAAAAAAATCTGTAAGGCATAAAACCCATAATGTCAAAAGAAAACTGACAAACTAGGAGAAAGTATTGCAACATGTATCACAGACAAAGGGGTAACATTTCAATATGTAAAAAAGTCTTAAAAATTGAGAAAAAAACCAAAACCTGAAAGGAAAATGAAAAAAAAAAAAAAAAAAGACTTGGTCACAAAAGATATAAAAATGCCTCTCAGCGGTTATGAAAAATCTCAAAATCACTCACAGAGAAATGTAAAATGGACACTGATATACTGTTTAGAGCTCATCAACTGGAAATTATAAATACAACATCTGTATAGACATGAATGCTGGGAAACAAGCACAATCATACATTATTAGTGGAATGTAAAATAGGATGACACTCTGAAAAAGTCTACACTTGTCTACTACTAGCACTTTCTTCTAAGACAAAACATACTCTTACAATGATCCAGCAATCCCACTTCTAGGTATTTATCCTTGAGAAAGGAAAAGTACTGTTCACACAGAAACCTGGAGATGAAATGCTTATACAATTCTATTCTTTTTTTTTTTTTTTAGACAGAGTCTCGCTTTGTTGCCCAGGCTAGAGTGAGTGCCGTGGCATCAGCCTAGCTCACAGCAACCTCAAACTCCTGGGCTCAAGCGATCCTCCTGCCTCAGCCTCCCCAAGTAGCTGGGACTACAGGCATGCGCCACCATGCCCGGCTAATTTTCTATATATATTAGTTGGCCAATTAAATTCTTTGTATTATATAGAGACGGTCTCGCTCTTGCTCAGGCTGGTTTCGAACTCCTAACCTCGAGCAATCCGCCCGCCTCAGCCTCCCAGAGAGCTAGGATTACAGGCGTGAGCCACCGCGCCCGGCTTTACAATTCTATTCTTAACTGCCAAAAATAGAAACATAGAGAAATGTTCTTTAATATGTGAATGGATAAACATGGAAGGCATACATATACTGGAATACTACTGAGCAACAAAAAAGGAATGAATACTTCACTAGTTAATAATGGAATGATTTAGATAATCTCAAAGCTATTATGCCCAGTAAAAGAAGACAGTCTCAAAAGGTTACAAACTGTATGATTCCATTTATATGTCATGTTCAAAGACCACAAAATGGGCGGCCACCAAGGGGGTCAGTGAGGCTGCGCAAGGCGGAGAGCCGGGTCAGCTGGAGCAGCTGCCGCCCCAG